GCTCCTTCTCACCGAGCCCCGCGCCCCGCCCCGGGGTCTCACCGCCCTCCCCCCTCCCAGACTTGCACTGGCTGCGGTGTTTCCACACCTCCATGTCCCGGCCCGGCCCCGAGGAGCCCCGGTTCATCTCGGTTGCCTATGTGGACGACACGCAGTTCGTGGGCTTCGACAGCGGCGGGAAGGATCTGAGGCTGGAGCCGCGCGCGCCGTGGGTGGAGCAGGAGCCGGACTACTGGGAGCGGGAGACACGGATGGTCAAGGGCATCACACAGACTTTCCGCCAGAGTTTGGGGAAAGCGCGGCGCTACTACAACCAGAGCGAGGACGGTGAGTGACCCCGAGTGACCCCGGTCGGAGGTCACGACCCCCAACGTCCCCACGGACGTCCCCAGTCTTCCCGGGTCCCCAGGTCCGAGGTTCGGCCCGAGGCTGCGGGACCCGCGGGGACCCTCGACCCGGAAGAGCCACAGGACAGGGACAGGGCTTTGGTTTCAGTTCAGGTCCAAACCCTCGGGTGGGCGGGGCCGCGTGGGCGGAGCTGACCGCGGGGTCGGTCCAGGTTCTCACACCTACCAGTGGATGTGTGGCTGCCTTGTGGATTCCCATGGACGCCTCCTCCGGGGATATGAGCAGTTCGCCTACGATGGCAAAGATTACATGGCCCTGAACGAGGACCTGCGCTCCTGGACCGCGGCAGACAAGGAGGCTCAGATCACCCAGCAAGAGTGGGAGGAAGCTGGTTGGGCAGAGAGAGAGAGGGCCTACCTGGAGGGGAAGTGTGTGGAGATACTGCTCAGATGCCTGGAGGATGGGAAGGAGACTCTGCAGAGGGCAGGTAAGAGGGACCCAGGGGCGAGTCATCCATCTGTCTTGGACTAGAGATAATGTCTCTGGAAGGAGGAAAATGGAATCAGCTGGACTTGTGCCTCCCTTTCTTACAATAGCAGAAGAAACTCAGTGTTTCTGGGTTTCCTGGTCCAGCATCAGAGAGTGACTCCAGGCCTCACCCTTCTCTAGGACAGTTCAGAGTCTCAGGGTAGGAGAGAAGATCCTGAAATAACCAGGCAGCAGTTCCCTTCCATCTGCAGCCCATTGTGAACCATGGCCTCTCTCAGGACGGGTTCTCTGTCCACACCCAGTATCTGGAGGTCTGACCCCAGGGATGCTGAGTCTTGCTCTCAAACCTGCCCAG